ATCCCAGAACAGCCCTGAAAACAGGGACTGATCAACAGGATGATGAGACACTGAAAAATGCTCTTTATGTACAATACATGACATTTTAAAATATATTTTTGTATTTATACGTGAAATTATTCAATAAATGTGTTGATTTGAAATGTTTACATCTTTGATGTTTCCTCATTTAAATTCTTTCATCATTTTATTTCTAACCAGTCAGAGTTTATTTGTTTCTTTTCAGAAAATAGAAACTGAAAGGAAAGAAAAGAAAAGACCTCCCAGATCCTAAAATACATGAAAGCATTAATCAAATAGGTTTCCCCATTCTTCCCTGGAGATCCTTGAGTCTTTCGTTATTTTCAAAAAGTGCCAAAAAGGTTGGAAAACATCTGGATGTGTAAACTTTCACATAGAGACCTCTAAATGAAATGAAGAAACAGCAACGTTATTTGGTCAGCATTGTTCTCTGGTTACAGCTGCATCTCGTTGACTTTTAGTATCCAACGCACACTTTACCACCTAAATGTCTCAGAATTAGAAGTATACTGGGAGTGGAGGGGCAATTCCCACTTTTACACAGAACACAGTCTACGTCCTGTTGGCACACTGCGTTTCATCCCTTTACATTTACTACCTGTCGTATAATTTCCCTTTTCTGACATTGTGTTTTTTTCAGGCCAACCAACTCATCAGTTTTCAGGTATTTACAGTTACAGGGTTTGATGAACATCCTGATCTGCCCAATAGATCCTTTGACAAAAGCTCTAATATTTGAATATGCCTAATTTTCTTTTCTTTCTCAATTCTTGAGGAAGACTTTTCCAGGCTTTTCCAGACTCCACTACCTGAGGCCCCCAGAGTCTGAGCTGGTTCACTGGTTGCAATTTATCCTAATTTTATAATTTAGTTGAGACGGAAAATTAATAAAACAAGTTATGTTCAAACCACTGTCCATCTTATTGGAACTTCTGAACACTTATAATGTTTTTTTTATTTTTACAAATATCTGATATTTTTATTTTTTTTCTGTATAAACAACAGACAACCGACCTTGGTGAAATGTAAATGCAGTGTTTGTATTTTATTAGTTTCTTTACACACATAAGCATAGGTTCATCATAATGGAAAATTAAACAAAAGCAAAGATAACACATCAAAGCCTGTTTTGCATAAAAAAATTAATTGAGGACATTTATAAACCCATTCACAACAGACAGTGTACATGATATGAGCCGAGTTTTGCTTTCCTACAGCAGACAAAAATATTGAGTAAAAATCTAGAAAAATCTAGCACAGTATGTCTAACATGCCTAACTTCTTCCTATAAAAACAAAAAAATGTCAAAGCTCTCTCTATCATCTTTACTTGCCATGCTGCTTAGCTATTGCAGTTTATAACACAGAACCAAACACAAGATTTAAACGTTAATGTATTTATTTAATCTGTCCATTCAACCAAACCTTGGATGGGTTCACCATCTATACAGAAACAAAAAGGCACCGAGCCTCTAAGGCTCTGATTTAAAAGGCCAAATTTCCATTCGGAGAGTTGACTCCAGATGCTGTTAACGTGGTAAAAGACGATGAAAATTTAAGATGAAGTGTTTTTTGAAGGGTGGCTTAAAGGCTGCGGTTTTTGTAAACTCAAGGTTTTCACATTCTCTGGAGTGTTCCAGTTGCTGCGCGCTTCCTGTTTAGCAGCGCTCCGAGTTCTGCTCCGGCTCTTCACTTATGGTGCGGAAGTGCTGGGGCTCCGTGGCCACAGGGCCGTCGGTTTGTGTGAAAAAGGTCAGCTGGCTCCTGACGGGTCTCTTGAGCAGGAACTTGCGGGAGGTGACCAGGTCGCCGTAGCCCTGGGAGTGGGAGAAGGCGTAGCCAGAGCGGCGGGTGCTGAAGGTCCGGGGCCGGCGGCGGTGGCGAGGAGCCGGCGCCGGCAGAGCCTCTTCACGCATCTTGTATCTCACCTAGAGAGGAGCAAGTTGAACAAGACTTAAATGGAGGCTTTTATTAAAAAAAAAAAAAGACATGTATTCGCATGGTGGCAAAGTGATGTGGTGGTGAGCACCATCACCTCATAGCATGAGGGTTCTGGGTTTGAGTTCCTCTAAGGGAACCAGGACCTTTCTGGGTGGAGTTAGATGTTCTCAGTGTGTCTGTATGGGTTCTGTCCGGGTTCTCCGGCTTCCTCCCACAGTCCAAAAACCTGCATGTTAGGTTGGTTGGACTAACCCAAATTGCCCATAGGAGTGAATGTGCGTGAGCATGGTTTTTTGTCCTTGTGTGTCTCTGTGTGGCCCTGCTATGGACTGGTGGACTGTCCATGGTGTACCCTGTCTCTCGCCCATTGACCACTGGGATAGGCTCCAGTTCTACCTGTGACCCCATTAGGGAATAAGTGGTAATGATAATGGATGGATGGATGGATGGATGGATGGATGGATGGAATACATTTGCTCAGATAGATAATTCAAATGTTCTGTTTAAGATCCATCAACTCTCAATGAAACCCTGTTCAGGACGGCCATCGGTCAGGTCACCTTTACAGCTGCCATAACAGACCTCTTTACATGATCCCACTAAGCTTTCCAAACTAGGATCTTCAAAGCAGAGTGAGATGGCATTCAAATAGCACCGCGATTTTCTCACCTTGTCGTTGATGGTGGGACGGATCAGCAGGAGCATGAAGCGGACCGCCAACACGGGCAGAACGCAGAGGAGGGTGGTCAGGAACATGGTCAACCACACATTTGGCTGGTTCAAAGAGTTTCTTGCTGTGCCTGAAAATCAAATCAGACCAGAACTCAAAGGGGATTTTATCGTTGCGAAATATTCAGAATTGTACCGAGTGGTAAGCAACCCTAACAGCCCGGCTACTAAAAGTAGTGTAGACACATAAACAGATAATCAAGTTTGTTGAGATTTTCTACTTTATGGTGAGCAGATAATATACTTTAGATGTCTTAACCGTGTGCTAGTTTGTCTCTTTTTCTTCTGAAGATATGTGGCCAGATAAATTATCAGTAAAACATGTGTAGGAACCTTTCTTAAAACGTAAAACTAAATTAAGAAAGGGAAATTTTAACAGAGATGCTAAGCGTTTCTTAACCAAACACAGTAAGCAAGTGAACGAGTCGGCAATGCCATCGAAGCTGCAGCAGCCATGAAAAAACATGAGTCTTTATTTGTCCTGTCGGGGCCACCAGAAATAAATAGATAAAAGATTCTGGGCCTATGTCAATAAAAGCTGTTCAAACAATTTGGGAAGTTAGGGAAAAAGACATGCCAAATATTCCAGATGGCACTTCAGTGATGGATCTTGACAAATTTTTTTTATCTTAGAATAAACTTTTCTATGGGAGGAAAAAGAACTTAAAGGTACTTTTCGGGAGAGGAATTGAAGTCAGTTTTTTGGGAGGGGGAATAACCTCCATCCCCCATAAAGCAGCTGAATGTACTCACCAATAAAGGGAAAAGAAGAGGTGAAGATGAGAAACATGCCGTTGCTGTACATGGTGAACTTCACGGCAAAGTACGTGGCCAGGCTACCCCAAACAAATAACTGATTCAGGGATGTCCAGTAATGGGTGTCCAGACTCAACTGGAAAACATAACAGTTCATATACAGTTAATATTTTTATACAATGAACGTATCATTTTAGGCGGTATATAATCAAAACTGGGATCTAGCATGTCTTTGAATGCCACAAAATGGCTTTAGCTTTTAACTGGCACAACACACGTGTATAAAAGTAATCTCAAATTCTCAAATGAGCTATTTCCACATTTGATGGATCGTTGCGGAGCGCTGAAAAGGGCTTTTTGCACATGCTTCTCACCTGTATGCTAACCACGATAAGCAGACAGGTTTGCGCCAGCAGGGCAAAGGACTGAAAATCCGCAATGTCTTTGCCGTCATCCCTCACGGTATCCCGCATGGCAGCCCATGGGATGAAGAACAGGACTAGGGAGCTGTAGCAGCTGTTCATTATGCTGCGCCCGAAGGCTTTTTTGCTAAAATACATGTTCAGCTGGCC